CAACTCGGCCACAAATCAACTCGGCCACAAGTCAACTCGGCCACAAGTTATTTATAATTAAAATCAAATGTAAATCTCAGTTTTTGCATCCTTTTTCTTCAATATATGATTGAAATAAAGTGAACAGTATATTTTAGTAAAAGAGGACCACCACACTACTAAAAGAGATTTGAATGCTATGAATTAAAAAGTTATTTATTAATGTGTTCGTCTTCTGTTTACTCACATCATTCTACTTCAACAATAATATTAAACAACAATAACGACAATAAATTAGTAATATTTACTTTAATAATACTAATTAGTCATCATGGCGATAATAAAGGTGATAACAACAACAACATTAATAGTAATATTTATTTTAACAAATAGTAATAATACTAGTTATGGTAATAATAACGATATTTAATTATCTGCGGTATTTTAATATAAATACTAATTAGTGATAATAATGATATTGAAGGTGATAATAGCAATAATACAATAATAAATTAAAGATAATGTTTATTTTTATAATAATAGTAATACTAATTAGTAGTAATAATAATAATAATGATACTTAAATACTAGGCCTACTTAGTAATAATAAGGTGATAATATCGATAATAAAGGTGACAACAACAACAATATTAGTAATAATAGTAATATGAGAAAAATACAAATAAAACACCAATAACAATAACTTTTTAAATTACTATTATTAAGATAATAATACTAAGACTAATAAATAATAATAAAAATATTAATAATAATAATAACAATAAATCGAAAATTATTTATTATTTATATGGTAACAATAATAATAATAGCAAAAATTTGAACAATATATAATGTTAATGCTAAGACTAATAATTAATATTAAAACTAACGGTAATAAAACAACAATAATAATAACAACATTGACAACAATAATAACAGCAATAATAATAACAATAAGTATAGTGATACTCCTTCAAAGTGTAGTAAATGACTTGTGGCCGAGTTGACTTGTGGCCGAGTTGATTTGTGGCCGAGTTGACTTGTGGCCGAGTTGACTGTAGCCAAACTTTTTGTGGCCGAGTTGACTTGTGGCCGAGTTGATTGTGGCCGAGTTGGATCGAATTCATAAAAAGACGGCTGTACAAGTAAGCTTATATCAAGTTTCTTGTGAAACTTTTGATTGGCTAATCAATTTTTATAGCCGGAGTTATAGTTTCGAACTAGGCAAACCTTGCTAAAAAGGTACACTTTCTCCATCAAAAGACTTTTTCTATGAATGGAATGACCTGTTCGAAGCACGATTTCCTGTAGCCCAAACCCGGTACCGTTACGATTTTTAATCGTGCAGGAAATCCACTCACTATGTCTTTTTTTTTCTATAGCATGAAGAATGAGATAAAATTAAGTACTTTCTAAATAATTAAGTTTATACTGATTGTGTTATTGTTTCAAATCCTGGATCCGCCCCTGATTATTATGTGGGTGGTAATACCTCATTACAGACAGTGCCTGGGTCACTAACAGTTGGATGGATGATTTTTTTTCTCATTTATCATGTAGGCCTAAATCCGGGATTTTAAGGTAGGCCTATATCAAGATGGATGTTTTCCTCATCATTACCTAACTCTCTCATTTGCTTGTGAAAGTATTTCAAGTTCGTGTGGAAAAATACTAAATGAAGTACAATATTTTGAAAGTTACTTTGGTGTTTCCGACTATTTTTTTACTACTGTTATTTATACATTAATTTGTTTGACTGAAGAGAAAACGTTATATTTACATACCATGACTGAGGAAGGGCTGGAGAACATAGTCATAGTCAAAGCAAGCACATCATTAACTATATGTTCTCATTTAATAAGACTTACATATGTCGAATACCAACGCATGGATGGATGAATGTTTATAATGAATAGTCGTCTACTAGTAGTATAGGGAGGCCTATTATTATTTTTCTTATAAACTCCCAGGCTTTTTCTTTTATCAACATTCAA